TTAGTTGTGAAAACTAAATACATTGACACATTAATAGAGCTTTTACTTTACTATTTACTAACTAAGTCATTGACTATGAGAGAACATTTGCCTTTGGTCATTTTTGAGACCCCCATCCTGTTGTCTAACTTGGATCAAATCACGACGAACTTTGTGCAGTGACTAAAATAGGAGTCTTAAAGGACGAACTATGTGGTAAGTAAAATGATCCGACATAAATTGTTGACAATATTAACCTGGTTAATGGTTAATGGTTAATCTTCAATTTACCACAGTCCTTTTCTAAAAAAAGTTTCATTAAAATACATACAGTTTTGTTTCAATTCTATGCCTCCGCTTTGCAAACATCACTATCGGTAACAGAAACAATTTGTAACAATCTATACCTTTGTTTTGCTTTCAATTTTTTTGGTTATTTGTATGATTTTGATATATCTTTTTTCCTTTAAACCTCTTACAGTTTACTAAACTAAAGTTTACGGTAACTTGTTAAAGTTGACGTCTCTCCTCTTTCTTTCGAAAACAAACATAGGGTTATACTAATTATAAAACATCAAGGGATACCTTCCCCAATGACTACAAAGATCCAGTTGGAAGATATCCTTCTCAAACCACCCAGACGAAACCAAATACGTAGCGCCAGTCCCTGGTATGTTAAGTAGCTGATACTAGCTTAGTATCACATTTTCGTTAATGTGGTATTCATAAGCCATTTGGTGATTTTTAATTGTTCAAAATGGCCTGTTTTTCTCGTCAATCAATCAAACAATTCAACAGATAGATAAAACTTGCCTAGTGCAAGTGCATAATCCAAAACTTCAGTACGTTGCAAAGAATTTTGAGCTCATAAATTATTCCTAACATTAAGGCCCCTGATAGTCAATAGGACCTACACTACCAAACTTATTTTACTTTTTGAATGTTTCCATCAGAGTAGTATTGAGACCAACCACAATATGGGTATTAATTGATCTGACCGGTAATTACAAGTTAGTTCATCAACGGAGCACTCTGGTGTCTTATTATGACAAATGTTAAGAGCTGTTGGCAATTGTGTTTCCTTACAGTAAATCAGCCAAACGTGGGAATTCACAGTCTACTAATCTATCATACAGATCTCCCACATTCTGTATCAACCGCTGTTTTCGAGCATGCTCCAGCGCGGCGTCACATGGATTCAAAACTCGCTTGTCGAGGAATCTGATTTCTGCCGGAGTCAAACCCAGTCTCTCCGCGAGGGACATCCATTCGTCTCCACCTAAGGGTAAAAAAACGAAAAAATATTGAGTCCTGGCAAACATTTTTTTCAATTATTAGACCTGGAAAGTTCTTTAAAGAATCTTAATGATTATTTGCTAAAATCGTTCTGCATTGCTCCAGTGCGACCATGCTTCGGAATGCTACATCAGTGGGAAAATGATAACGATCACCAAGGAACTTTCCCTATCCAGCCCATTTCCGTGGAAGGTTTAAATTCATTTTACAAGGAATTTCGAGGAGAGAGACCAAACGAAAGTCTGTTACGGCGCATATAGCAGCCGTTTAATAACAAGGTTTGTAAGTTGCTGCCTTCAAAAAAATGTATCACACAGAAGGGAGGGAAAGGGTCATAAGCACCTCAGAATTCCCTCTACCTGTACCCTTGATGTGGTTCTGGTGGACTACTCGCAAAAGGAGGAGGAAGCGTTGAGTACCACTCTAAGTGAGAGAATCGAGATGCTGACAATTGCCCAAAAACTTGGCTGCATGCATACCGGGTGATTACAGAAGCTATATATTGCGCCCTGAACACTTTTAAGACTTAAAAGACCTATAACTTTCCATTTTAATCCTATGCACTTCCTTGTAAATTACTAGAGAGAAATTGTTATTGGATCTTCGTCAAAAAACAAAGTTAGACTGCTCTCGTCACCCATGTCCTCGATAATACAAAAGTCGGCAGACACGAGGGGACCAGTAGTTGGGGCTTGTTTCGCGGACTAGTCCCATGAGTGACCAAGACAGAATTTCTCCTTACAATATCGATACAACATCAAGCAGACAAGCGATGAGAATAAAGAAAAATATCAATTAGGGGATTATAAGTTAATCCAATGGCAGTTTCTCCAAACTAACACCTTTTGAGACAGAGTGTTTACAGCCATTAATACACTCGACAAAATAAATAAAGCGGAGGACTGTGGAAAACGTTTATCAATAACTAGGAAATAACTTGACAAATTGCCCTATAAAGTAGTAAGTATGAACAAAGTGTTTCGTCTCACCGCTAAGGTTTATCGTTAATTCTCTCCTCAGACCCAAAGGAATCATGGCAACATCACACGTTTCAGGCAACAAAGGACCTACCGGAAGAAAGATTTCTTGATGAAAGCTTATCTAAACAACTGAGGGTATGGTTAGGATGGTATTTGTTTCGTATAACATAAAAACAGGACGCATATTTATTTATCATTTATCACATAAAGTGCGGTGTTATACAGGGATTTCCGGCTCTGAGAATAGCCGTAACAACACACGTGAAAAAATATCGTATTTTTTCACGTGTGTTGATATAGCCAATCAGCTGCTGCAACGTCACTCGCCTTTGGCGTCACTCGGTCAGGTTGATGAATGAACGGCAAAGCCTTCACGATTCTCAATACAAGTTGTTTGTCGGAGCTTTCTCAAATTGACGGTTAAAACACTAAAAAATCCGTATGACTGACAGACTGTGAGGTTCAAACTTTCTTAGAAGGGGAAGGAAACCAATATACTAGAAGGAAAACCGAAAGTTGCCTATTCAGTGGCTTTGGTGTTAGTATTTCTCTCGGCTGAGAATGAAAATCAACAACTGGAAGATTTGCCATTTAACTGAAAGACTTCTTCGGTCGGTAAGGACAAAGTCACTAAATGAGAATTTTGTAACTTGAAAATTACGACCATTGTTGTTTTTGTAATCATGATTCAACGCATTTTTCCATCTAAGGAGTTAACGCCAACGCATCACTATATCTGGTTAAGTACGATCAGACTGAATGAGCAATATGACTGAGCCGTTGCTGATCCTAACACAAAACTAGTGTTACATACGAACGAGACATAAGGTCTCACTTACTCTCTCTGTGACACACGTGAAGACAAATGATAATGACCAATGTACCTTAACAAATATAAACCCAATGCAAAAATGAAACATTCCCTTAGAAGTATACCCCGACATCCCTTTAACATCAGCAAAGGTGTACTTCAATTCACCTGTTGTACCCGCGGGAGTTATTTCTCTCAATTTTTTGACAACTTCTGGCTTGTTCGCAGTCTTAGCCTTAAAACAAAGGCAGCGGATCTTCTTCTTAGTGTCAAGGTCTGGTTGTTCCAATGACAGGTTCTCCAAGGAGAGACTTTGCTGAAATTGGGCCACAACCTCACTAGCATCACACGTCTGAGTCGTCAGGGCCTCAAGTACTCCACTGAACAGGACAACTGCTTGATCGTTATGGACTAGATTACAAATGTAATGGTGTCAGAGCATACAATGAATACAAAACAGGAGAAGAATGAAAGAAGGAAACATAAAAGGATATATAATTTGTTTAATGGTTTTCTACATCAACACTGAAATACTAAAATCGTTTAGACCTGAAATTGGCTTGCTATGTTTGGTTAAAAATCTAGTGGCCTTCTCAAAAATTATTTTATAATTAAAAAGCTACATAACAGAAGCTTACCATCTCCACTGCTAGGCAAGGGGCAGTTTTCGTCGTATTCGTCAGTGGCTTGCTATATGAAGGAAAAATCGAGAAATTACCACTTTTATATCGTCAGCAGTACCGTAAAGTATCACTGTTTTAATCAAGAAACCTGAGAATTCGTTAGAGGCATCAAGGTATCGTGGTTTTGAATTACACGACTGCCTGCATCGCAAATCCCTATTTCACGCCGTAAATCATTTCCTTTTGATAATAACAGTGGAGGTAACTAAGGGAATGACGAGTAATATATTTTATCCAGCAAGCTTTCGTCAAAATTCTATGTACTGTATCAACATGGTAACTTGAACTAACTTGAACTAACGAGATTTAATCCCAAGGATCGATCTTCCTTTTTTAGGTGCGGAGAATGAACTCTTAATTGACAAAAAAAGTCATAATTAATGGGTACAGATTCATTATTACATTACCCGTTCCTCTAGAGATCCAAACCAGAATCCAACAAAATTGACAGGAACCTTGCAATTTACGGCAACAACCGACCGGGTGCATACAATGGATCCATGGCTAGCGAAGAGCTGAGACTCTGACAACAGGTGCAGGCACTGCTCTTCCTTACAGCCACGTACATTATGGTTGCAGCAGTGATTCACGGAACGACTTGCACAGCACACTGGACAGCATACTGAGAGATCATATGCCATGTTCTTTAGCCAGGGAAACTCTTTTCGCATGCACTCGAGAATCAGTCCTAGTCGTCGACAGACTGCACGAGCAAAATCCACCTGAAAGGCGTCGTATGTGGATTCTGAATGCAAATTCAGTCCTGATGCTACATCCGATACGAGTCCAGTGGTACATCTTTCTTTGTGAACAACTACCTCAATGAAGGAAGAATGGCATTTGAGGATTAGAGAACAACCTTCAGCAGGATGTGTGTAAAATCTAGCAAAGTTTTGATGCAACTGAGGTTGCGTTTGACTAGAAAACTCCTTTGTGCACCACTGAAAGACCATTAGGACCACACGAGAGAAAAGGCCGGGCGGCACTTGACTAGACTTGAACTTAAGATAAAGTGGCGGGATCCCTGCAGAGGCAATCAGCTTACTCACATCCTCCAGCGGTGGGAACTTCAACATGGAAGGTACAAGATATTCAGTGGGTGAATCAGTCGCGACTGATAACGACAAGGGACATAACAAGCAGAATTTCTCCATCATGGCAATGAGAGTGTGACAAGTTTCTCGGTTATGAAACAAGGGGCCCCATACATGCTGCAAGAGCTCTTCTTTCAAGATTCCTGTTCTCTCAAGCTTCAACCACAGTTGCTCGTATTTTCTCTCTTTGCTTTGGTATGGCCTTATGGTAATTACCTCCTTAAAGACATCTATCAACCATTGAGGGTCCAAGATCACCATTCTGTTTAACTGTGGAGTGTCGTCAAAATGAATTAAAATTCTCTGATCGTGTAAGAAGTTCAACATTGCCACAAATTGTTCGGTGCTGGAAATACCACATTTTTCGGTCGCAATATTTTTGGCTTCATCGAGAGAAATCCACTTGTGGCCATCTTGATTCTTCTCTTTCATTTCCTTTTCAAACTTCAACCACTTGATCGGAATTGCCTCTTTCATTTGTGGTAACTCATTGGCAACAGTTTCTACCTCTTTTCTCAGACGATCGACTTCTGGACATTTTTCTACACTTCCGGATTTAGTGTTGTCTACAACAAAGACATCAACTATATGTTCCCCATAAACCCGCGTCTTCAATGAGCCAAATATCTTGCGGGCCAACGCATGAGGATCTGAACCTTGAAAAGGTTTATCAGCGTGGGTGCAAACAAGGAAAACCGGAGGAAGTCTTTCTGGTAATATTTCAGATGCAAGCATTTCCTGGAGGTCCTCGTCTTCCAGAACCAAACTAGATACAGAGGACATCCACAAGTCAAGATAATCCATGTTACTCCTTTCACAGAAAACATCCTCGATATCCTCGTAAAATCCGCGCTTCACTTGAGGGCTGACTTTTCCATTTGGATCTCGACTTAAGTCATAAACTAAAAGGTAAATCGCCCTCGTTGTAAGAAATAAAGGATGGGTGGCGTAATAGACAGATTGTCCACCAAAATCCCACAAAACTACGTACAGATCTTCTTTACCTTGGGCACCTTCGTCTTCTTCTAGTTGAAGCAAATTTTCAACTAAAGCAGCTATCTCATCCGGTACCTCATCAACCGTACCAGCATTCTTTTTCCAAACCTCTTGGGAAACTTTGGGGGCGGAAGGGTCAATCCCACTTGCAGGATTCGACGTATCCACATTTTTCATCTCTTTTGCGTTTATCTCTCCTTTAAGGCTCTTTAAAATGCACTGAGCGGTACATTGTTCAAAGGAAATGTGTGCTGGATCTGAATTTGCCGCTTCATCTCCACTATCTCCAACTTTCCATACCTCTTGGGAAACTTTGCAGTAGGAAGGGTCAGTCTCTATTCCTATGGTGATGGTTTCTTCTGGGTTGAAACGTTCTCCTTTTAATGACCTCTTTAAACTTGTTTTTCCCGACTGACCTTGTCCAATGAACATGATGGGCGCTCTTTTTACAATGGTTTTCCCCTCTGAAAGGGCTTTACGATAGGCTAACACTGCTGAAGGACCTCGGGAAGTAATCTCCAGTGGGGCTGTTTGAGTAAATTAAGGAAACATTGTTTCAGTACTCTAATTTCCCATAAGATTATGTATTTTAAAAATAATCTGAATGTGGCAAATTTGTTGTTGTTCATTGTAAGTCATGTGGTAGAGAAGATGGCAGAGTCTTTTGCAGCAACTGGGGAAGAAGAATCTAAGTTGCTGCAAGGGAGCATTCCTAAGTCGACTGCCTACAAAACAAAATGGGCGATTAAAATTTTTCACGAATAGCAGATATATAGAAAAGTTAAAGTTCCTGCACTTGATTCTGGTGGCGCTTTTAAAGATTATGGAGATTTGTACAAAGTTCAGTCGTTGAGTACAGATTTGGCAGATATGGATGCCAACGCTTTAAACTACTGGCTTGGTAAATTTGTCCAGGAGGTTGCGAATAGTGAAGGGAAGGTGTATCCAGCAATGACCCTTTATGGAATTATCTGTGGCATTCGAAGGCATTTAGAAGAAACTGTGGGATGCAAAGCTTTAAATCCTTTAGATTCTTCGGATAAAAGGTATGAGATGATATCAAATTTATGTTTATTGCAAGATACTATTTTCATTGAATACAACAATTAGAATATAGATCTATCTTTTTTTAATCTTCCTATATTTTATTGCAGATTTGCTATTTTCCGTCGTTGTATCGATACCGAGATGAAGGGTAGTACGCGGCAAGGTGCGAGTTTGCAAACAAAGAAAAAAGACAAGGAAGCTGTTACAGACGAGGACGAAGAAAAGTTCTGGAGTGCAGGATTATTTGTCTGTGGAACAGCTAAGCAATTATTAGATACTATTTAAAAAATGTTTGGCTTGCGCAGTGGTGAACATAGGAAGATTTGTGTGAATAACTTTTCTTTGGGGCCAAATGTTATTAATTTTGAAGAAAATGTATGCAAAACTTTCCATGAAGGTATTTCTGACTTTAAGTATGAACCAAGAAAAGTGAGGCATATTTGCCATAAGAGAGGGGTCAAGAGCATGATCGATGTTTAGTGCAGTTTTATCAATTGTACATTGGATTGGTTGAAACCCTTTCAAAAAGAAATGAAGCTTTCTATTTCAGGCCAAAGTCGAACACGTTGTTTTGAGAATAGTCCTGTAGGGATCAACACCTTGAATTCTATTTTGCCGAATTGTGCAAGGCTGCGGGAATCAAAAGAAAAACGGCACATTGTTTGCGTGTCACTTGTGTTTGTAAACTCTTAAATAGCGGTAGAGAAGAGAAATTAATTAGAGAGAGAACCGGGCACAGGTCTTATGCATTATTTGTTTATGAGAAAACAAGTGAGAAAAAAGTTTCTCATGTATCAGCTTTATTAGAGGCAGAAACGAAGACAGAAAATAAGGAAGAAAAATTAATGTGTAACAGATGCGAAGAAAAAAGCTCAGATGGTTTTTTCATTTTTGAATGCTTTTTCTTTCACGATTTGTGATGTAAAAATTTTTGTCAACTAAAAAGATAACTGAGAGCGTAGCTGATTAATTATGATGATTAAATAAACTGGAGTACTGTTTTTGTGTTCAATTTGTTTTGTTTTGATCCATAAATCTGGATGTCCAATGAGAAGACAGATGAAAACCACGCGTGGTTTTGATATGTGATCCAAAACACGTGTGGTTTTCATCTGTATTTTCATTGAGTATCAAAACTTGTGCACGTGACGAATTCAGCCATTTTTTATTGGCTATCAAACTTATGAATTATTAATGAGTTTTAGAATTATATATTTACTCACTGAGACAAGCGCGAAAATCTACAAAGCGTATTTCGGGGTTTCTCTATTTCCATTTCGTTGTAAAGGAGGCTGTAATTATTTCACGTAAGAGATCTTTGCTTAAATATCAGTCTTCGACCGAACCGCGAACCAAATGTTAGCGGAATCAAACAAGATGTTTGGGTTTGTTAAACGAAACACGTGTTATTTACAAAGTACCAATGTAAGAAGATCAATCTATTTAACCATTGTTAGACCACATCTGGGCTATGCTGCACAAGTTTGGGCGCCAAAATCTATTTATCATATCTCAAATCTAGAAAAGATACAGAGAAGGGCTACAAAACATATCTTGAAACTACCATTCTTGTGCTGTCAGAGTTATAAACAATGGCTAAAAACCCTTTCCTTACCACCAATCAGCTCCTGGTATGAGTACTTAGATATGTTACTGTTCTTTAAGATTATCCATGGTATGGTGGATATAGACCCTACAATTGTTTTTATTGCTCATTCTACAAGACACACATGATCATCTGCCAATATACAGCTGTTATCAAATACTCTGAACATAAATGTAAGACTTCAACCTTTCAACAGTCAGTTATTGTACAAATAATAAGAATCTGGAACACACTTTCAGGCAAGCTTATCTAAATGTTAACAATGTAAATGACTTCAAACATGCTTTGATATGTTATTGTTCAACTGCACTCCAAGAGATCTATGACATTGACAATGCCAGGACTTATAAAACTATCCGTACAAAATGTAATTCATGTCGCAGCCTGAAAACAACACCAACTCCATGCTGTTCTTAATTATTAATTGTTGATGTAATCGTTTTACTATTTAATTCTCCTAGGACCACAGTAGTTGGCTATCGCTGTTGTGGTTGCCTGCCCATTACTGTTATGTAATTTACCTGAGTTCTACATTGTATGTATTGTTGGCAAAGCTAATAAAATAAAATAAAATAAATAAATAAATGAATAAGCCAAGTACTTCGCAAAAGCAAGGTGAAATGATCGACATCAGAGAGAAGAGCTTCAGATTAGAAGAAGAATACAAAGACCTTCAATGAAGGAATTCTTGATTTAAAAAAAACAATAAAAACTGGCAAAATTTTGACAGAAAGAACAAATCAAGGCAAGTCATAGAGGGGCCGGCCACCGTAGAGCGGCAAGCCCTAAAGGAGCAGGCCACGGAGCGCCACACCATGATTTCTTTGCGAGAAGATACAACAATGATGCCGATCCTGTTGTTTGATTGAATTTGTTTGGATACTGAAGACTGACAAGTTGATATGTCAAAATGTTTTTGAAAAACTTATAACATGAGATTTCCATTTGTCTCAGTGAGTAGATAAAAATGCCAACTTCTGGAACAATACAAAACCAAGGATAAAAAGTGTTTTGGGTGAAGCTCAAACACATTTTCATCCATGGTTTTGTATTGTCCTAGAACTGTCACTATACATCTAGTAGCATTAACCTCTTTTATTTATCGTAAAGATTTTGCGGCCTTTTCTGCTTCAAAATAAAATTGGGTTTTATTATAATATGGTTACCATGGTAGGCATTTTCAGAAAAAAAAAAACCAGGAGAAGCAATGTTCTCAGACACCCTTTCAAGTATTAAATATTCCTGTAAAACAACTACCTGCTTCTTGTGTCTTCTTCATCATCTTCCCTATTACTTGCCACATACCCCACATATCTAGGCGTAAGCAAATCATTATTATTATGTAGTGACTCATTGTTTAATACATTTTACACATACTGTGTAAAAAGTATGTAGCGTTAACTTCTTTTATTTATCATTAAGATGTTGCGGCCTTTTTTGGCTTAAAAAATAACGTTTGGTTTTATTATGATATGGTTACCATGGTAGGCATTTCTGAAAAAAAAATCAATTCAGGAGAAGCCATGTTCTCAGACACCTTTTCAAGTATTAAATATTCTTGTATAACAACTACATTCTTTTTGCCACTTCTTAAAATTTTTCCCCTCTTCATTTCATCTAAAGTGCAAGCAAATAATTACTATCTTTTTGGGATTCAAGTGGCACTTTTTCTCTTTAACATGCCGGCTATGCCACAGTTAGTTTTTTCATCATCCCTGTTTTGTTTTGTTTTTAAACAAGAATCTATCCGTATAATACGAGTGTTGGGTATGTTTGAGTTCTGTTACTGTACTTAAGGTTATGACAATCATAAAGCATGAACCTTCAAAAACTCGGATGGTCCATTTAATGTACTCTTTGGTAATTTTCGTCTCTGTTCATGTTATAATTTCCTCAATTTTGGCTTTGGCATGTTAACAAATTTTGTTTCTTTCTCTTGTTGCTACTTGCCGGTGTCACAGCAGATATGGATCCCCTCTCGCTGAACTGACATATGAATCTCTCTCGAAGCCATCAAGTTTGCCGAAGTGTGAGCCCAATTTATTACATTACACCTCTAAATTGTACGTCCCTCCTTTTTAAGAAATATCCTGATATTTAAGAGGCAATTTAAGAATGAATTTCCGATACTTTCATGTGTTGTACCACATTGTAAAAGCAAGTCCTTTACAAGGACTTCATAATTCATTTCTCATATAAAAAAAAAAGGTTTGATGAATTTAATTTTAACTCATAGAGGAAATATCTTACTAATAACTGTCAACAGTCAAAGCTATCTCCTCTCTCCCAACGATATTCACTTAAAGAGATCTAGTAGTAAGCTGACAACAACAAAATAAGGGCACTTTCAATTCTTAATCAAAAGTTTGCACAGTTGGCCAAACTATTTCACTTACTTGGAATAGTTGCATCATCCCCATCAAACCCTTGTGTGACAATTACGTCTATAATTGAAGGGATCATGAAATAAGAGTATGAGAAGAGTATGTGGCATTAACCTGTTTTATTTATCATAAAAATGTTGTGGCCTTTTTCAGCTTGAAATTATAGTTGGGTTTCATTTTAATATGGTTACCATGGTAGGCATTTTTATAGTAAAAAAGAAGATGGGAAAACAGATGTTCAAAGTAAAATATAAAAAAATTGAGACGCGTCCGCTAGAGCTAACAAACTAGCGACCCTCAGCTTCTGAATCAACCTTGGTATGAGAACTTTACAGTGAACTGCATGGTTTGGGAGGTCTTACTAACTTACTTACCCACTTTCTTACTTTTTAAGACACTTGTTATCATAAGAGTTTTCCTGGCTATAGGCAAGCAAGCTAAAAAACTGCAGAGGCACGCAGATAATATTGTTCCCAGAATATTCTCAAGTTATTCAAGTAATCCCTTGTAAACCAGTAAGACTTAGTCTGATAAAATGCCAAAATAATTACTGCCCTAAGAATTACCCAATTATTCCCCAACAAAAACCCCTCCCAGGTTATAAAACAAAGTATTTTGGAGTTCTTGAACTAATATACTTTATTGTCCACTAGTGTTTTTCCATCCTACTTATTTTCTCTTTTATTTATCTAATTCATTTGCTTCTTCTTGATTCATTTCAATAGATCTAGTAATTAGTTGACAACAACAAAATAGGAGTATTTTCAATGCCCAATAAAAGCTTGCTCAGTTGGCCACCCTATTTTACTTACTTGTCCCTTTAACCACAAAGATCTTCCTTCCTGATCCTAAATTATCACCTTTTACCTCAAGATAGTACTCCATGTCTGAAAAGTATTTGTTCAAAATTAGCAAAACTCAAATCACCCGTAAATATATAATTCTAAAGTCAGTAATCATTTGGACTGCAAGCAGTTCTTCCTCCTGATAGTATAAAATCTGCAACAAATTTGGTTGTGATTTTAATGCTTGGATTATTTCACCATATCAGCAACAAATTTTCATAAATGTTTATTTTGCCCCAGACCAAAGTAAAAAAATATGCCAACTGATTGGTCAAAGAAGTCAAACTTAAATGTGATGTTAATGCCTCCGTAACCTGACAATTTCTTCCATTAAAAATTACCTATAAATCATGACACTGTCTGCCATATAGATTCCAAAGCAAAAGGTATACCAAACCTTTTGACAAAAGACATTCTGCTGTATGATACAAAAAGAGGTCCAACAAGAAGTGGAAAGATTTTTGAGTAACACAAAGGAGGTAGGAACAGATTACAGACATTTTCCTCCCCGCAGATTTCCCTCAGTTTCCAATTCGTTAAAACTAGTCTTATGAATTAGGAATTTGGGGTGCCTTCATGGCAGTGATTGACGAAACAATTTACTTACCAGCCGAACCGCCATCTGAATCTCTCAAAGAAGCCATCAAGTTTGCCTAAGTGTGAGCCCAATTTATTACATTACACCTCTAAATTGTACGTCCCTCCTTTCTCAAGAAATATCCCGATATTTAAGAGGCTATTTAAGAATGAATTTCCGATATTTTCAGATGATATATCGCTTCGTAGTGTTCGAGAAGGAAATGGGCGGAAGTACGCTACTAAACCTGACATTGTAGTCAGCAGCCTTACATTTTAGCGCATGCGTGAATGTAACGTCCTGTAACGTAGCAACGGAGCAGAGGAAAACAGCTTTTCGATTGCGGTACGTCTAAACGTGAGACTTGGCAGTGCTTGGTTTGGACAGCAACATCCCTTTAAAGAGAGAAAATGAGTTCAAGAAAGGTTACAGCAGGTAAGTTATAAAACATAGGGTAAAATTCTAGCGTTGTAATGTCAAAACTAAGGATACATGCTTTGTCTTTTAACCGTAGTGTTTGAGAACTATCAAAAACAAAGGACAACTTTCGTTGAGAGAGTCGCCGAACTCGCCAATCAGGCGGAGAACATCGAAACTCTGCAGAATGTTGGTAAGTTAAACATGCACTTCCCAGGACATTAGGTAGTCTGGTACAAGAAGATCCCTCTTTTTCTGATGGATCTCCTATCTTTAATTCCAACAAAGTAATCGACACAAGTAAGTCTGGTGTAATTCTTCGAAATTATAGATGACCCGAACCGTTTGTATGGCTATGCTTTTGAAGCAGAAGTAACGATAAAATTTACCAGCACTGTTATTTAACTAACATGTGACACGAACATATACCTTTGAAAATATGGCTATACACACAAACACGTAATAAAAGTTTGGTATGTGAGATTGTTAACTGGAAAAAAGACCAATGCATTTGCATGTCTACTGAATATAAAAGATACTGTAACAACGTAATTATACGGATAAGGAGTGACATTGTCGAATCATGAATCTTACTTTCTCAGCAAGGGACTCAATTTTCGAATAAACAAAGATCATGTTCAGTTCCTGGTGTCATTTGAATTCTGTAGCACCCTGATGCTCAAAAGTTTTTTTTGTAAGATCGTTCAACCACATTTTTGATGCATGACTTTTAATGCTCTGACTTTTAATCTAACTAAGTATATTTTCTTTCATCACATTACGTCAACATGTACTAAAATGGACAGTCAGCTTTTTTTCACATTTTTCTTAACCACTTATACAAAATGTATGTTTGTGAAGGTGCGATGGCTCTGTTAAGACCACTTCTCCTAGATGTTGCCCCCAACATTCAACAGACAGCAGCATTAGCCCTTGGTAGACTGGCAAATTACAATGAAGACCTTGCTGAGGCTGTTGTGAAAGGAGACATTCTACCACAGTTGGTGTATTCTCTGGCAGAGCAAAATGTAATTTTCTTTGTTTACATACATGGTCAGCAAAAATTTTTTCTGACAGTTGTAAAATAAAAGAGAAAAAGAGTCACACACATATCTTTGGGCAAATGTTGTAGGTTTATTTAGTTTTTGTATAGGATCATTTTGCCATGTAATTATCAAATCCTGTATTGACTATTAGTTTCCTTCAGTCAGGATTGCAGGATATTTGCTTAGCCTCATTCTTTCAAAGCATATTTATAGGCCCTAACTCTGTCGCAAGCCAACTTAAAATAAGACCTGGGTCAATATTTAGGGATCTTGACCTTACTCCTATGGTCATCAAATATATACCTATATATTTATAATTTGCATAATAGAGAATAATCTTGCAGCAACTAGATCCGCTAGTTCTTCTGCTATTGACTTGGAAACTTGTGGGATATGCTGCAGACATTCTCACTGATTATATGATTTGCACATTAGAGAAAGGCCATTCAGCAATTAGCTCTGCTAGTTCTTCTGCTGTTTGCTGGGGAACTTGTTGGACATGCTGAAGACATTCTAACTGATTATATAATTTGCACATTAGAGAATAGTCGAGCAGCAATTAGCTCTGCAAGTTCTTTTGCTGTTAATTGGGGAACTTGTTGGACATGCTGAAGAGATTCTAAGTGATTATATGATTTGCACAAGAGAGAATTCAGGCAGCAGCTAACTCTACCAGTTCTTCTGCAAGGCAAAATTTGCTGCAAGATGATTCTCTACTGTGCAAATCATATATATTTGTATAAATTGATTCAATGAAATGTGGAAAACTCATCTAGTACATCCAAATTCCATGTTTTTTACCACAACAATTTAAGAAATTTGTCTATGTTTTTGTCCACAGCGATTTTACAAGAAAGCTGCTGCATTTGTGCTGAGGGCTGTAGCGAAGCATTCTCCTCAGCTGGCACAGGTATAAAGGAAAGCAAAATAGAGACATTTTTAAGCTATCACACAAAATGTGTGTACATACCAACTAGTGTACATGTATATAGATTTCAGGTTATGTGCTAAATGTAGAACTTGCAAGGCTTAGTTACATTGTACATGTACACTGAACTAAAACAATACAGATGTATTTCACATGTTCATTGTGATAATGTTGAGGTTAGGTGCAATTAGTCTTTGATAAGGAAATTTCATGTAGTGTGATAATTTGGATGAAATGTAAATTAAAAAAGATGGTGAATGTGCCGCTTTGTGTCCAAAATGATTCAAAGATCTGACTGCCTCTTACAGGCTGTGGTAGACTGTGGTGCTCTGGAGGCTCTTGTCATCTGCCTGGAGGAGTTTGACCCAGGGGTCAAAGAAGCAGCAGCGTGGGCCCTTGGATATATTGCAAGACACAATGCAGGTAAATAACCAGCAATGAAATACTATCAGTTTCCATGTAACAGTTTCTTCCTTTCAATTCTGATCACAAGTTCCTTGATTTTAATACCAACACTTAAGTCTCTAACATTTTTTTTTTCAGAGCTCTCCCAGGCAGTTGTTGATGCAGGAGCTGTCCCTCTGCTAGTCCTCTGCATTCAAGAACCTGAAATGCCTCTCAAGAGAATCGCTGCATCAGCATTGAGTGACATTTGTAAACATTCGCCCGAGGTGAGCAGTACACTATGGGCATGACCACTGATTTCTCAACAAAATAGTAGTGCTTGATTAAAATTGTTTTGTTAAACCTTATTTGGGTTTCCTTTAAGTGGGAGCTGTAGTGTTTACCCTTTACACCCTAACATCAGTCGACATATTCTCCATACTGTTCTCAATACATTTCCAAAGGTGCTGACAAGGAGAATTTGTTTAACAATCAAGAGCTTCTATTGTTGATCATTTCCTTTTTTCTCTTGACCTCTATGTGTGATTTTGGGGGTGATATTGTAAGGAGAAATTCAATGCTAGTCACTTGGAGGGGTTAAAGGGTTAATCTATATAAAAGCCAATTTACTCTTTTCTATAGTTGGCCCAAACAGTGGTAGATGCAGGAGCCATTGCTCACCTTGCGCAGATGATTCTTAATCCTGATTCAAAACTTAAGGTAAGTCTTGGTGATGACTGATAAAAGTTTCACTGTTTGTTCAACTCTTTGCATAATTCTAATGATGCTTTTAACACAAATGTAATCAAAGAAGACAATAGTTTTATAAGATTTTTTAACCTGATTCTGAAGGTGGACTGTAACTAATCTTTGACCATTAATATTAACACCTGTGGTCAAATTTTGCAACTGCCTAGTACCTTCACACCTCACTTTGTTAATATGTGATACATTTTTAATGTACTGTAAGCTTTAATTAATTCTTTTTCAAATTGGAATATAATAGGTTGATATCTATTTTACTTTCTACAGCGTCACATATTCTCTGCATTAAGCCAAATTGCCAAACACTCTGTTGACCTGGCTGAGATGGTTGTTGAGGCCGAGATATTTCCAGCTGTTTTAGCCTGCCTTAAAGGTGAAGTGCATTTGAATTCTGACTTCCTGAGCAATTTTCTGGTCAGCCTTAATCTACAGTTAAGCTATTAAAATAATCCTCTGGATACAATTTTTTTGATAGCTTTAAAACTCTATTAAATTGTCAAATGCCATTGAATGGAAAAGTTGATTTATCTGCAACATTGCTGTCAAAGGAAAAAGGATTTTTAAGCCATTAAGTAGGAGGGTTATCTACATTTGACCTAGCAATTAGTTCCATGCGCACTGTATATAGCTGTATTTATCATGCTATTTAGTAAACTGAATAATAATTTATCACTGGTTGTCATGGATTTGATCTTTTTCACTTTTATTTTCTCTTGAGGGCTATATTTTCACTCTCTTTATACCTGAGAGTGATCCAGTGTAAACTTTTGGATCACTACCATTTGATTTTAAGGTTTTCATGATACTAA